ATAGGAGGCACATGTGGTTCTGGAGCTAACCACAGAAGTTAACAGCCTCTGATTGTGGTGACTTCCTGAGTTTGATGATTACCTGATTTGGTCAGCTTCTTCTTTTGCTGGCTTCCTAATTGTGGCAATAAGAGATATGATTATGGAGATAGTGGCTTTCTGGTTATAGAAGGAGGAGCAGCTCTCTTGGTGGCCTGATTAGTGCTTTGGAAAGCTTTTTGGGTCCAGGCGAACAAATGTGGGAGTCTTGGGATCCTAAAGGGCTGTACTGTAGAACTAAGAGTGAATTGGAGGTAAACCAGTCCTCAAATGAACTGCAACCTAATTTCAAGTCATCTGGATGGGCAAAATAGATCCTTAAAATATTCTTTTTGTGTGTGTGTGAGGAAGATCAGCCCTGAGCTGACATCCATGCCAATCCTCCTCTTTTTTTGTCGAGGAAGATTGGCCCTGAGCTAACATCCGGGCCCATCTTCCTCTACTTTCTGTGGGACACCGCCACAGCATGGCTTGACAAGCGGTGCATCGGTGCACACCTGGGATCCGAACCCAGGCCGCCAGCAGCGGAGCGCACGCACTTAACCACTACGCCAAGGAGCTGGCCCCCTTAAAATATTCTTAAAGAGAATTCGGGTTTGTATAGCCCTAGGTAAATGAAAATCATGACTGGAGAAAGATAATATCCTAGGCCCAAATTCTTAGTACAGAGAGACAAAAGGATGGGAAAACACAGAAGAGAAAGAGAATAGATACCACGGGAAGGTCCCGCTTACATCTAGTTGGGGTCTCCGAGGAGTAGAAAGAGGGAATGGGGAAGAAACAATATTTGAAGACATAGTGACTGAGAGGTTTTTAAAATTGGCGTGAATTCTGTTTTGTCAGCATGGTTATCTATTAGTTGTGTAATCTCCATTTTCTCACTAGTTTTTTAAAAATATTTTTCTCTTGTTGGGTTTCCTCAAACTGTAGGTTCATACTATTCATCAAATCTGTAATATCCTTAGCCAGTAACCCTTGAAAATTGCCTCTTTCCCACTCTTCTCTTCTTCCAAAGTCCCATTAGATGTATGCTGGACCCTCCCATTCTAAACTACATGTTTCTAAACCTTTCTCTCATAGCTTCAGAATAAAGGTCTCCCCTGAATTCTGACTTTTTTCTTCAAACCTATCCTCCAGGTTCACTGTCTCTCTTACCAGCTATGTTCAGTCTGCTAGTTAACCAATTATTAATTTCATTGAGTATACTTTTCACATTTCTAAAAGTTCTGTTTCAAATCAACTAGTGTTTTTATAGTATTTTGTGGGGTTTTTTTTTTAGTGTTTTTAATGCCTTATTTCATGCTTTTAACCATTTTAAATATCCATATATCCAATGTCTGTAGTTCTTGAGTGTCTAATCCAGCTGTGTTGGGTTGGTTTTACTTCACCCATGGTTAATTGATTCTTGATGTGTTTTGAAATTTTAGTTTGTCAGCTTGTGTTTGGCAGGGTTTTGTGAGAAATGTTTGCTAGCAAAATCAAACATAATATATCTGGAAGAACAACAGAGGTTTCCCACAGACATACGTATAAGCTCACACAGGCCTGTAGTTGTGAATTCTCAGGAGAGAGTCTTCTGTCCTCTTCCTTTTCCTCTTCTTTCCTTTAACTACTCTGATAGCCAAGACAGAGAAATTTGCCTGCCATCTCCTTTTGCTTCTCTGTTGTCTCCCTTGTGCCACTGAACAGATTTTATCTCTCTTGTCACTATCCTTGGACTTTTTTTTTTTTGATGAGCTTTATTTAGGTCTGATTTACATACAATAAAAGTTGCCAATTTTAAATGTATAATTCAATGAGAACTACTGCCACAATTATAATAACAGATCATTTCCATGACCCAAAAAAGTTCTCTCATGGCCTTTTGCAGTCAGCCTCCTCTCTCCGATGCCTGATCTGTTTTCTATTACTAGAATTTTGCCTTTTCTACATCCTAAGGTAAATGTAACCATACAGAATATGGTCTTATGTCTAGGCATTTTTCACTTAATGCTTTTGCGATTCATCCATGTTCTTGCATGCATCGGTAGTTTGTTCCTTTTTATTGCTGAGTAGTATTCCATTATATGGCTATACCAGATTTGTTTATCCATTTACTTGTTGGACATCTGGGTTGTTTTCAGTTTGGGACCATATAAGTCTTCGTGAAGATGTATGTTTTCATTTCTCTTGGATAGTACCTAGGAGTGTAATGGCTGGGTCATATGTTAAATGTAGGTTTAACTTTATAAGGAATTGCCAAAATGTTTTCCAAACTGGCTGTACCATATTGCTTTACCACCAGCAATGTGCAGGTTCCATTGGCTTCATATCCTCATCAACTGTTAGTATTACCAGCTTTAATTTTTGTCATTCTAGTAGATAAGTATTAGTATCTCGTTATGATTTCAATTTGCTTTTCACAAATGACTAACAATTTTTCATGTACTTTGTCATCCATGTATCTTCTTTGGTAAAGTATCTGTTGAAATCTTTTGCCCATTTTTTAATTGAATTCTTTGTCTTTTTTGCTATTGAGCCATAAAAGTTCTTTTTATGTTTTGGACATGTCTTTTGTTGGATATATATTTTGTATATATTTTTTCCCAATCTGTAGCTTGAAATCCAGTTTATAAACTTTTTGATAAAAGTGCTGTTATGTGCCTTCAGAAATCTTTGCCGTATTTATTTATTCATTCATTCATTTATTTAGTGAGGAAGATCAGCCTTGAGCTAACATCTGATGCCAATCCTCCTCTTTTTGCTGAGGAATATTGGCCCTGGGCTGGCATCTGTGCCTATTTTCCTCTACTTTATATGGGACGCCACCACAGCATGGCTTGACAAGTGGTGCGTTGGGGCGCACCTGGAATCTGAACCCGTGAACCCCGGGCCACTGAAGTGGAGTGCGCACACTTAACTGTCTACCACTGGGCCAGCCCTAATCTTTGCCTAATTAGTTGAATTTCTTAGTAATGTTTCGTAGTTTTCAGAGTACAGATCTTACACATCATTTGTCAGATTTACCCCATTCAGTTTTTTTATGCTATTGTAAATGGTACTTTTTAAAATTTCAAATTTTGGTCCTGTATTGCTGGTTTATAGAAAGATAGTTGATTCCTGTTTGTTAATCTTGTATCTTGAGACATAGTTAAATTCATTTTAGTTCTAGTAACTTATTTGTATATTCCTTGGCATTGCCTACATAGACGATTATGTCATCTGTGAATAAAGACAATTTTACTTCTTCCTTTCTCGTCTTTGTTTCTTTTTTCTTTTTCTTGCCTGCGTGCACTGACTAGAACCTCTAGTACAATGTTGAGTAGAAATGATGAAACCTAAATCCTCGCTCTCAGGAAAACTTCCGCTAGGGCCTACTTTCTTCCTACCCCTACAATGTCATTGTCCTAAATTGTGTTTGAAGTGTTCAGATGGGTTGGAAGAAACAGTATTTAGGAGTTAACTACTATACTATGAAGCTAGATTTGTGTTTTAGACTAAGGAATGTTGTAGCCAACAGTGAGCTTGTCATCTCTGACCTGTTTTTGTTACTGTAATATAGTCTGAGTGGAGATAATTTGAAATGGACATGCTAACAAACTATTGCAGGATGAGTTGTAATATAGGGTGGAAGTTGGCTTTAAATAAATTAAAGGAGACCTTCCTGAGAAGACAGGTAGGACTACCACCAAACCCTCATCCCATCTTCTCCTTATTCATAATCTAATAGGGAGTTTCATTTTCTAACTTCTGTTCATCAGTACTAGGTGGCTTCAAGAAAAGGAATAGTCTTTGATTTGAAACTACCATCTTTTTTTTTTTTTAATAATTTTATTTATTTATTTTTCCCCCAAAGCCCCAGCAGATAGCTGTATATCATAGTTGTACATCCTTCTAGCCGCTGCATGTGGGACACGGCCCCAGCACTGCCGGAGAAGCGGTGCGCCGGTGCACACCCGGGATCCGAACCGGGGCCCCCAGCAGCGAAGCGCACGCACCCAACTGCTAAGCCACGGGGCCAGCCCGTGAAACTACCATCTTTTAACATCATAGTTCAATTTGTGAGTTTAACTCTATTGACTAGCTGTTGTTTAGGAGTTTTTCTTGTCCTATAGTGGAAAAAATACCTTGATCAAAGCCATAAGATAGATAAAAGGAAACTTTTCTGAGAAACTTTTCCAGCCCATTAAATGAAATTCTTGTGTGTTCAGCATGATCTTCTATCTTGCAAATTGCTACATATCTAGTGAGTCAGGTACACGTTTCCTAATACTTTTTTCAGCTTATAAATAAGAGAAAGGGGCCGGCCCCGTGGCTTAGTGGTTAAGTGCGCGTGCTGTGCTGCTGGCGGCCCGGGTTCGGATTCCGGGCGCGCACCGACGCAGCGCTTCTCCGGCCATGCTGAGGCGCGTCCCACATACAGCACCTAGAAGGACGTGCAGCTATGATATACAACTATCTACTGGGGCCTTGGGGGAAAAAATAAATAAATTGTTTAAAAAATAAATAAATAAGAGAAAGTATAAAGAAAGTAAGTATTGAAGAATATGTTTTGGGAAAAGGGAAAAACGTATAAAACCTATACTAAAACCTGAAACTTTTGTAGGGTATGTTATGTGAATTTTGCAAGCAGATAAGTCAAACGAGGCATTTAGTTATTCATGGTAATTTGAGGAATTATATTAACTACTAAAACTAGTAGGCTTATTTGAAATGCAAAGGTTATATTTATTGAAAAGGATTTAGTTCGATTATGGTTTCCTAAATGGTGAAGAGCTATTTTCCTTTTACCTACTAAAAACTATGGGCAATACAATGGCTCTAAAACTTTTTCTGATAATGTCCTTAGAAGATAATGTCTATTGGACAAGTAACATTGAAAAACAATTCAGTTACTTGAGAGCTAGGTGTAAAGGGTAGAAGTGCTTTGTTGTTGGGAGTGCTTTATTGTTGACAGACTGTTTTAATTTTATATCTTTCAGATATTTGGATTTGAACTGCATTTTGGAATTCATCTACACTTAAAATGCCACCAGTAGTTGGAGGTCCAGTTGGATACACTCCCCCAGATGGAGGCTGGGGGTGGGCAGTGGTAGTTGGAGCTTTCATTTCCATTGGTTTCTCTTATGCATTTCCCAAATCTATTACTGTATTCTTCAAAGAAATTGAAGGTATATTCAATGCCACCACCAGTGAAGTGTCATGGATATCCTCCATCATGTTGGCTGTTATGTATGGTGGAGGTAAGTACCCACTAAGACCTGCTATTTTAATTTTCATTAAGCAGCCAAAGGGTCTGTATTAGGTAACTTTTTTTTTATGTCTTATTCAGTGAGTTTCGAAATGTTATTTCTTGAAGCTTTATGTTTAGAGTCACGTTTTTCATTCCCATTAACAATGGCAACTGAATAACATAGTTCATAGTCTCAGGTGAAATCTTTTCATGGTGTTAGAGTTAAAGAACTGAGTAAAATCTCCCCCTTGTTCCTGTTGATGTTATTAGTCCTAAAAGCATTTCGGCTACACCTTAAACTTAAGTTTTATCATTTTTTCCCTTCTGTTTTCTTTGAAATGTTGTGAAGGAGATGAGGAGAGTAAGTTGCTTACTTAACATCATTTAAAGTATTGGGCTGGCCCCGTGGCCTAGGGGTTAAGTTTGGCGCACTCCACTTCGGCAGCCTGGGTTCGGTTCCCCAGGTGCGGACCTACACCACTTGTCAGCAGCCATGCTGTGGCGGCGTCCCACATGCACAATAGAGGAAGATTGGCACAGATGTGAGCTCAGGCCAAATCTTCCTCAGCAAAAAAAAATAATAATAAAAAAATAAAATACTATTGGTTTCACCTTGAACATCAAATCACAATTTAACATGTCAAAGTCAAAGCCTACCATAGTACTTAAAATATGTAGTTGCTTAGCAGAGATTCTAAAGCCAAGTGTATTTATTTACTGGGATTGACAACGTCTCACGTTGCTTATTTAGCCAAGCTTTTACTTCTCTCATTCTTATTTTTGGGTGGCAGTTTAGGACCTGAGATTATTTTCACATGTGGCTTTTTAACAGCCAGTAAAAAGACTCTATATTTCGACTGTAAAACCTTATAGCCTTAGGCTTCTAACCTGGTGGCAGATTCAACCAATATTCATTAAGCCCTGTGCACATATTTCACATGAGGCTAGGTGTCGTGAGTGATAGAGAACACTGATCCTGATCCTTGTCTTTGAGAAGTTTATAATCCTGTTGATGGGCCGGCCCGGTGGCTTAGCGGTTAAGTGCGTGCGCTCCGCTGCTGGTGACCCGGGTTCGGATCCCGGGCGCGTACCGACGCACCGCCTCTCTGGCCGTGCTGAGGCTGCGTCCCACATACAGCAACTGGAAGGATGTGCAGCTGTGACATGCAACTGTCTACTGGGGCTTTGAGGCAAAAAATAAATAAAATAAAAATTATAAAAAAAAAAAATAATCCTGTTGAGACAATAACATAAACTCATGAAACAGGAATAAGTAGTTGAAGTTGTAATTTAAGTAAGTACATAATTTTATTTGCACAGAAGAAAACAGGTAACCTGGTTGCCTTAGAGAGAGATAAATTGGGTGACTGGCAACAGGAGTGGGAATACTTATTTTTATCCACTGTATATCTTTTTGTGTCTTTTAAATTTTGAACGTATGCCTGTTTTGTCTATTAAGTACTTTTTAAAAGAACACAAGTACTAAATTTTAGTACTTATTTTTTTTAATAAGTTCGGAGAAATCAAAAGGGTCTTTGGACGTTATCTAGCTTCTGAGAGCCAATAATTTTGGAGGCTTTGACTTCTGTCTACCAGGATTTCTAGTCAGGTTTTGACTATGATGGCTAGAAAAAAATTGGTATAAAAATTATCCAGGGGTACTTCAGATGCTCAGTGTATCTTTAAGCTGACTACAAACCAGAGGGTTCACATGTTGCAATTCTGAGCTGCTGAAGAGCTTGAGAGCCACTTGTATTTTGCATCAAAAGTAAGTGATGTCAGTTGTGCTAATGGCACATGACACTTTCTTTTGGGAAAACAGTTCCTTCTTTGTCCTCGCCCAGAGATAACTAGCACATTTCTCTGAATTTGTGTTATAATAGACCTATAAACTGTACCCCTCCCTATTTTTAATGATAGCTAATTGGGGCCATTCTTCCTGAAATAATTCTGTAAGACAAATTGCCTATCATGAGCTTTGCGGCAGAATTTTCACTAAATGGGTTATTTTGTTTTGATTGGCTCCTAAGTGTATGTCCCCTAAGAATTATCATCACTTTTACAACTGCCATAATCCTTTAACTTGTGCATTTGAGCTATACCCTCAACACTAATGTTTTGAGCTATGAGTGGTTTAGTTTTCTTTTTTTTAGTGCTTTGCTTCAGAGATACATACTGATGCTTGTTAGAGTGTGAGTAATACTGCAAACTTTACAGCATTAACTTCTACTTCACAAAGTCAACATTGTGGCAATATTTTGATCTTTGTCATTCTGACCCTACAAAATCTGTTTCATGACTAATTTATATGGAAATATTTTATGAATAGTCTTTCAGTATTTAATTCTCTCATCTTATACAAGCTGTAATTCAGATTACTTCCAAACCAGCTGTGGCCTAATATTTTCATGAAGTGGCTTATAAGGTCAATGAAAATTTCTTTATACATGTCCTTGGTTAAGCCTAAAGTCTCTCATGGCATTCAGTTCTTGACCCAGCCCTTTAGAGAGATTTGATTCTCTGAGACACTAAGCTTTAATTCCCTCTTGCATGTTTATTATATGTAAGTATTCGTCATATATACCATAATTTGATTTTGGATCCCTGGAACCAGAGCCTGTCCTTTTAATCTTAGGACACCCTACTGCAACTCTGAATGGTAGTACTAGAATATAAGTAACTGGGGAATTTTCCATAGTGTTTCTGGAAATAGAATATATCAACATATGATCAGTAGTATATTCTGAAAATGTCAATTCTGTATATGTTTTTAACAATAGACTTACTTTTTGGGAACTAAGTATAGAATAAACAGAATAGGGTCAGAATTTACTGTGCTAATAGAAGAGAAACATGATTTGTATGTCTTCTGCTTTATAATTTAGTTCCAAAAATACAGAGTCCATGTAATGGGGAGAAAACGGGCTGGGTTTGAAACTTGGTTCTCACTAGCTTTGTGACTTTGCAAGTTCAAACATCAGTTCTTTTCCTTGTGTCCCCTTCCCTACTGATGCATTGCAGTGACCCTTTCTTATTTTTAGTCATCTACCTTAACCAGGCAGACAAGTTATGGTGTCATGTAAACAAAGTTGTCGTTTCCACAAGTCCGTATCCATGAAGTAGAGACATGAGTGTTATAAATAAATGAAATTCAGTGGCTGTCATTCAGTTTGTAATCAGCAAATATTTAGTGTACTTAAGAGTTGTGTACTTACAGAATGTACTTAAGTTGTACTTACAGCTTTTACAATACTTTGGATAAGGCTGTCCTATAATTAAGACTTAAAAATTTAGAAAAAGAGAATTACAGATTATACCTATATGTAGCAAGTAAGAAGAGGCCATTTGATTTTTGTATTCGAAAACTGATACATGAAATGCATAAAATCTTCTTCTTCCTGATCCTTATAATACTTCACTTTTTATTTGGTTTCTTCTCTTACATTCAAGAAAAACTGACTATTTTGTACACATCTATTTAGCTGAGGAAATTTAATCTGGTTTTCTTAGATAACACTCTATTTCCTATCCTCTTGAGTTAGACCCAAGGATATTTGACTGTTATATGACTTAATCTTCTCCTACAAACATTTTTTCACAGTAAAAGACAGTAATATAGGCATGGAACCAGGTTAACTCTAAAAGACATATTCAATTCAATACCTGAGACAGCTGGATGTAAATGGGACCGGTTTTTTTGTTTTATTTTAAGTTTAGATGTCCTAATTGCAAAACTACTTAAACTTGGAAAAAATAATTATGTATTTTTGTATTTGTTCTTTTCTTCTTCTTCTTCTTTTTTGTTTTGTGTGTGAAGAAGATCAGCCCTGAGCTAACATCCGATGCCAATCCTCCTCTTTTTGCTGAGGAAGATTGGCTCTGGGCTAACATCCATGCCCATCTTCCTCTACTTTATATGGGATGCCGCCACAGCATGGCTTGACAAGCAGTGCGTCGGTGCGTGCCCAGGATCCAAACCTGCAAACCCCAGGCAGCCGAAGCAGAGCGCAGGCATTAACCGCTGTGCCACCAGGCCAGCCCCTTCTTTTTTAAAAACATGAAACGAACCACATTTATGATAATGTGTGAATAATGCTCTAAAATCATCTCATCATGTCAGTGTACCTGTTCAAAAATTAAAACAGAGCAAACTTAGTAGATATATGTTGATCATATCCTGGCTACATCAAGAAGCCTATTAACATCCATTACCAAGGTGTTTTCAGCCTGTTCTGCCTTATAAGAGAAAGATTGAGGACAAACTAAAGTCTTATGTTTTAGTAAAATTCTATCCAATATTTCTGGATATAGAAGATACACAATGTTTTTTAACATCTTCGTTTTCCAGTACACATACCTATGACTATGAAATAATTATAGAAAGCAATATTCTTACTATTGCCTTTTGTTGTGTCTATTTTGAAGGACTTGTCATTTAGTGTCACTAATGCCTTGTGTAGATGTGAGGGAGTAGGTTCCTTCTATACTACTAAATTTTTGGTTATCTCTTAGGTCCTATCAGCAGTATCCTGGTGAATAAATACGGCAGTCGTCCAATCATGATTATTGGGGGCTGCTTGTCAGGCTGTGGCTTAGTTGCAGCTTCTTTCTGTAACACTGTGCAGCAGCTTTACTTGTGTGTCGGCGTCATTGGAGGTGAGTTGCTATTGATTCATTTTCAAGCATTAGTTTATTGATGGCTGTTTGGTATTCCCCTGCATTAGTCTTTCAGATCTTTTGAGTAAAATTCCTTCCTTATAGAAATTACTTGATTATCATTTTGAAGAGCTGTAAATACATTGAGTACTAGAAAAGCAAACTTTTAAAGAAATTGCTCTCATACAGTAGGTATTCATTTCTTGTTAAATGAATGAATGAATTGAAAGAGATGATTGAATCCCTTGTCCTAAGAATAGTCAGTGGTGGTAGATAAAATGTGTGTAGCAACTTTTTGCAAGGGTGGTCATTGGTTATTATTCTCTCTCATTACTTCTTCCTCCCACAGGGAGTAGGCTTCTATTGGAGCAGGAGAGATTGTTAAACGTAAAGCAGGAATTATCTGGTAGGATGTCCAGATACATTTCTGAGGGATAGAGGATTCACTTGATAATCTCCCCCGCTTTTTTTCAGTAGCCAAATTAATGAACTGCTGATGAATATAATAAATTAAGATTACTCATAGCTTCACAGTTCAGATACTATCACTATTAGCGTCTTGATGTATATCCCTCTAAACTTTTTTCTGTGCACAAACATATAACCTTTTTTTAGAACAAAAAAGGATCAGATTATGTATAATGTTTTGTAAGTAGTTTCTTCACTTAACAATATATCATGAACATCTTTACATGTCATTAAATATTCTGATAACATTTTTAATCTCTATTATTCCATTGAAAAGATATACACCATAATTTTATTTGACCTCTTAGTTAATTGTTGAATATTTATGACTTTGTTTTTGCTTTTTTACATTTTTTTACTATCAGTAAACAGTATTGCATTGATAGCCCTTTGTGAACATGAATACTTTCTTAGGATAAATTTGTAAAAGTGGAACTGCTGTGTTTTTTTAAATATATATAAACTAAATTTCCCACCAGAAAAGTTATACTCATTTATAGTTCCACCACAATATATGAAAGAGGACACACCCTTGTCAACAATGGAATATTATATTTTTTAATCATTGCCAATTTAACAGGTGAACAGTATCTCCTGGTTTTAATTTGCATCTCTTTGATTATTAGGAAAGTAAATGTTTTTTATATGTTTGTGGCTATGTATTTTTGTTTTGTTTTGTTTTTGTTTTACAAAAGGCTTATTCACCACCTTTGTGTATTCATTTTCTTATTTAAGAATAATGTGTAATAACTTTACATGTTAAATTATTATTCCTTTGCATGAGAGACAGTTATTTTTCCAAATTAATTTTTTCATATTTAATTGTGGTAAAATACACATAACATAAAATTTACCTTCTTAAACATTTTTAAATGTTCAGTTCAGTGGTATTAAGTATATTCACACTGTTGTGCAACCATTACCACCATCCATCTCCAGAACTCTTCTCATCTTGCAAAACTGAAACTCTATACCCATTAAACAATAGTGCCCCATGGCCGGCCCTGTGGCTTGGTGGTTAAGTGCGCGCGCTGCGATGCTGGCGGCCCGGGTTCAGATCCCGGGTGCGCATCGAGGCACCACTTCTCTGTCCAGCCTGAGGCCGAGTCCCACATACAGCAACTAGAAGGGTGTGCAGCTGTGACATACAACTATCTACTGGGGCTTTGGGGGCAAAAAATAAAAAAAATAAAATAAAATAAAATCTTAAAAAAAAAAAAAAAAAAAAAAAAAAAAAACAATAGTGCCCCATCCTCCCATCCCTCTGGAGAACCTGGCAACCACCATTATACTTTCTGTCTCTATGAATTTGACAACTCTATAAGTACCTCATATAAGCGGAATCATACAGTTTTTGTCTTTTTGTGACTGGCTAATTCACTTAGCATAATGTCCTCAAGGTTCATCCATGTTGTAGCATGTGTCAGAATGTCCTTCCTTTTTAAGGCTGAATAATATTCCATTGTGTGTATATGTCACATTTTATTTATCCGTTCATCTGCCGATGGACGCTTGAGTTGCTTCCACCTTTTAGGTATTATGAATAGTACTGCTATGAACATGGGTGTACAAGTATCTATTCCCAATTTTTTATTTATTTATTTATTTTGTGAGAAAGATTAGCCCTGAGCTAACATCTCATGCCCATCCTCCTCTTTTTGCTGAGGAAGAATGGCCCTAGGCTAACATCCGTGCCCATCTTCCTCTACTTTGTATGGGACGCCACCACAGCATGGCTTGACAAGCAGTGCATCGGTGCACACCCGGGATCCGAACCCGTGAACCCTGGGCCGCTGAAGCAGAGTGTGCAAACAAAACTGCTGAGCCACTAGGCTGGCCCCAACCCCATTAATTTTTTGCTATACAATTTTGTTTGGGGGCCAGCCCCATGGCTTAGTGGTTAAGTGCGCACACTCCACTACTGGCGGCCCGGGTTCGGATCCTGGGCGTGCACTGATGCACTGCTGGTCTGGCTATGCTGAGGCAGCGTCCCACGTACAGCAACTAGAAGGATGTGTAACTATGACGTACAGCTATCTACTGGGGCTTTGGGGAGAAAAAGCCGAAAAAAAAAAAGAAGAATTTTGTTTGAAAAAAATTTGATTTAGTCTTTCTACTTTTTTCTCCTCATTAAATGTCTACAATTTTCAAGTATTCAAAACTCTCAGTCTTTTATGATTTCTGTCTAGTATATTATTCTTAGAAAATGCTCCTCCAAGATTATGAGAATATTTGCCTACTTTCTTAAATACCCCCTCCCCTCTTTTTTACATTTAAAACTTCTGGATGAATGACAATATTTGACATAAAATGAGAAGAAAGAAATATAACTCTATTTGTTCCCATGTAGTTAGTCAGTTTGTTCATTTGCTCTTCTATTCATTCATCAAATATTTATTGAGCAACAACTATATGTATGTTAGGTGCTGTGGGGATAGAGCAACAAGTCAGGCGAAGTCATGTTCTCTAATGGGAGGAGGCAGACAGTAGTACTCACAAATATATGAACAAATAAGAAAAATATCAGGTAATGATAAATGCTATAGAAAGCCTCAAAACAAGGTGTTCTGACAGGGAAGGACTGGGTAGTCAATGAAGGTAAGGGCTCATTGAAGAGATGACTTTAAGAGATCTGAGTAACAACAGAGAACTAGCTTTGTGAAAATCTAGGGGAACATAGGCCCTAAGTCAGCAGCAGGCTTATTAGCACAGGTGGGAATGGTCTGGTATGAGATCAGGGAGGGAGGTAAGGACCAGGTAAAGGTTATGGATAGGAAGCCATTAGCAGGTTTGAAATAGGGGAGTGACCTGCTCTGGTTTATTGGTTTAAACCTCTGTGAATAGCTGAAACATAAATAGTAGGGAGCAGGAGGGGGCCAGGGAGAGCATCTAGAAGTTATTTGAATATTTACTTATACTAGCACTATTTATTGAATAATTCTTTCAGCAGTAATTTAAAATGTCACTTTTATCTTACATTAAATGTTTATATATATTTCAGGTCTGTTCCTGGACATTCTGTCCACTTTCATCCATCAGCGTTTACCTATTCCTAAGTCAGAGCCACACTGTTCTAATGACTGTAGCTTCCATTTAAATATTTGTTGTGGTTAGTCCCACTCTTCCCCCTGCACCACTAAAAATTTCCTCGTTGACTCCCATGTATTTGTTCGCTAAGTATGTTTTAGTGTCACTTTACTTCATCTCCAAATGAAATCCACTGATATGTTCATTGCAATCACATTAAATTAGTACATTCATTTGGGGAGTATTGACATCTTGACAGTGTTGTGTTTTATTGTCCAAAAACTGTGTGCGTGTGTGTGTGTGTGTGTCGTTTTTAATTCTCCAACCCTTCAGGAAAGTTACACAATTGTAGGTATATAAATTGCACATTTTTTGGTTTTGGGTACTATTGTAAGAGGAATAATTTTGTATTGCATTTTCTATTGTAAAACTTTTCTATTTGATAACTGTCTACTTGATCACCTTCTCTGGTTTTAATCCTTCAGGTAATTTTGTTAGATTTGACTAATAGACAGTTATTTACCTTCAAATGATATAAACAAAAATAATAAAAATAACTAACATTTATTGAGTGCTTACTACATGCCAGGCACTGTTCTAAGTGCCTTATGCACAACAGTACCATGTGCCTGTTTTACATATTAGGTAACAGTCACAGGAGGGTCAACTTGTCTGACATTACACAGCCAGTAAGTGGTGATGCTAAGATTTGAACCTATGTAGTCTGGTTTTAGAGTCCACACGTTAAACCACTACCCAATATGCCCTCTGATTATGAGGATTTTTGTCTCCTTTCCATTATTTTTACCTCTTATTTTTATTTCTTTGGTTGAGTAATTCCAAATCTATTTCTGACATTTATTACAGTATGTGATTATTTTCTCTCTCCTCCCCAGGTCTTGGGCTTGCCTTCAACTTGAATCCAGCTCTGACCATGATTGGCAAATATTTCTACAAGAGGCGACCATTAGCAAATGGACTTGCCATGGCAGGCAGCCCTGTGTTCCTCTCTACCCTGGCCCCCCTCAATCAGGCTTTCTTTGGTATCTTTGGCTGGAGAGGAAGCTTCCTAATTCTTGGAGGCTTCCTACTAAACTGCTGTGTGGCTGGAGCCCTGATGCGACCAATAGGGCCCAAGCCAACAAATGCAAAGAAAGACAGGTCTAAAGAGTCCCTTCAGGAAGCTGGAAAATCTGATGCAAAAAAAGGGGCAGGTGATGCAAATACGGATCTTATTGGAGGAAACGCCAAAGAGGAGAAACAATCAGTCTTCCAAACAATTAATAAATTCCTGGACTTATCCTTGTTCACGCACAGAGGCTTCTTGCTATACCTCTCTGGAAATGTGCTCATGTTTTTTGGACTGTTTACGCCTTTAGTCTTTCTTAGTAATTATGGCAAGAGTCAGCATTACTCTAGTGAGAAGGCGGCCTTCCTTCTTTCCATTCTGGCTTTTGTTGACATGGTAGCCAGACCTTCTATGGGACTTGTAGCCAACACAAGGTGGATAAGACCTCGAGTTCAGTATTTCTTTGCTGCTTCTATCGTTGCAAATGGAGTGTGTCATCTGGTAGCACCTTTATCCTCCAGCTATATTGGGTTCTGTGTCTATGCGGGATTCTTTGGATTTGCATTTGGGTGGCTCAGCTCCGTATTGTTTGAAACGCTGATGGACCTTGTTGGGCCCCAGAGGTTCTCCAGCGCTGTGGGATTGGTGACCATTGTGGAATGCTGTCCTGTCCTCCTGGGGCCACCGCTTTTAGGTATAGTATGTCTTCCTACTTCTGAGGTTCTGTTAACATAAAACATGCATAGAAGATTGGGAAGGTGATAGAAAGCAGAGATCAGTGAGCTCCTTGATGGCGGAGAGCAAGTCTTTCTCATTTCTATGCCCTCAGTGCTGGCACAATGCTTGGCACAGCATAATTGTTCAAATACTTATAGGATTAAAGTGAAGCTGAAAGGAGAATCAAAAACTGTTATAAACTTAACTATTTATTAAAATAATTTTTTCTGATCATAAAACTAACATGTTTATTATAGAAAAATGTATAATATACACTCTACCTTTAAAATACTGTTGGTAATTTCATTTTAATTATGGAATTTATCTCAGTAGTAATATATAAAATAATGACAGTAGCTAACAGGTGAGGGCTCGGGTGTACCAGGGACTGTCCTAATCATTTTACGTATCCTGTCATATCTCACACATCTCTATGAGGTAAGACTGTTATTGTCTCCACTTTATAAATGAAAAAATAGAGGCTTCTAAAAGTGAAATAGGGCCGGCCCCGTGGCTTAGCAGTTAAGTGCGCACGCTCCGCTGCTGGCGGCTGGGGGTCGGATCCCGGGCGCGCACCGGCGCACCGCTTCTCTGGCCATGCTGAGGCCGCGTCCCACATACAGCAACTAGAAGGATGTGCA